TTTTTTTGCTTAATTTATAGTTTTGGCCATTAAAATGAGCTGGGATCATTTTAGTTTTTTACTTAAACATTTTTGCCCTCATGTATTATGTAGCTATTATTGAAAAAAACTTATATGAGCAAAGAGAAAAATATTAAAAATTACCTATAATTCCACCACATAGAAATAACTACAATATTTTAGGCAAGATTTTTTTTCTATGATTCTACAGACACATACATATTCATTTATGCAATATAGACACACACCTATAACTGGAATAAAAATAAACATACCACACTTGTAACAACAAGATTATATATGTATAGATTATTTGGTAATCTTTTATCAAATTTTCTCAACAACATATATGGCATTTCTGTGTCAAATCATTTCATAATATTCTCTTCTATGGCTATACCACAGACTAACTAGGTTTCTACTTTCAGACTCGTAGGTTATTTCAAAATTTTAGAACATCTGTTTACATAATTTCATGAAATGTAAGACACCATCAATGAGGAGATAACATGCCAGTTTCAGAGATGTCCAAATGAAAAAATGTGCATCTTAGAATTTATGAAATGTGAAGCATCTTTGACATTAGCATGATTTTTATCTTGAAAAATATTCTTTGAAGTGGAATTTCTGGATCTGGGTATGTTTAATCCTTTAGATACATACTGTCAAATGACCTCTGCATGTACCACACCAGTATGATTTTTTTCCATACAACCTTGCCAACTTGGGGTTTTATGACTCTTACTTGAATTTGTTCACCTGACAGGTCAAAATGGCATTTCATTTCAGTTTTAATTTGAAACACATGACATTCTGAGGTGAAAACATTTTAATATATTTATTTGCTTTCGGTTTTTCATGCATGATGATTTGTGACGGTGTTGTTACCAATGTTACGCTAATATTGTGACTTTATTCTAAAGACATTCAAGGAGGAAGTCTTGTCTCTTGAGGATCACTGATTTTTTAGATGTCTGAATCTAAGAAACTGCCATTTGGATCCTTATTAGATGACAAATATTACCCATCTTAAAGCTTTATGATGACAACTGACTCCCTCTGTGAGTATCCTTGTACATTCACAACCTACCTCAACAACTGGGAGCGGGGCAAACCTGGGTCATGTGTGACAGGAGAGGCATTGTTATTCCAGATGTGCCACTGTCAACTCCACTACCAATACC